GTCTCTTTCTTTCCATGGCATTTTCCTCTTATAAGGATAACAGTCACATTGCATTAGGGCCCACTTCGGTGACCTCTCTTTAACTTGACTGTATCTGCAAAGATCCTATTTCCAAGTCAAGTCACATTTGTAGGTACCAGGGGTTGGAAATTCAACATATTATTAATATTTATTTTTTATTTTTTGGAGGGACACAAGTCAACCCATAACTGTCACAAAATCATGTAGATACGTCTTTGTTTCAAATATGCACACCTGAATGTGATTATGGAAAAACACAGGACAACCCCCAAATTGAAGGACATCCTACAAAATAACTGGCCTCTGGTCTTCAAAAATGCCTACGAAGAACGACCTGGGAACTAGTTCGGGGTAAAGTAGGTTAGAGAGACAGGAGGATTGAAGGCAGTATGTGGTTTTGAATTTTCCTTTGCTGTAAAGGGCATTACAGGGACAACTGATGAAAACTGAATGATGTCTCCCTGGCCGGATAGCTCAGATGTGCCAAAGTTGCGGGTCTGCTCACCGGCCACGGCAGATACAGGAAATCAACCAATGAATGCATCAAAAAGTGGAAAACAAATCCCTCTCTCTCTTCCCCTTCCCCTCCCCCCTTCCTTTCCCTCTCTGAAACCAGTTATAAAAATTAAAAAAAAAATTGAACGTCTGTAGTGTAAATAACAATGGTATTGCATCAGTGTTAATTTCTTGATTTTGATAATTGTATTGGGATTAGGTAAGAGAACCCCGTGTTTTTAGGAGATGTTACTGAACAAAAGCGGGGTTCGGCTGCCCGCCACCACCCACAGGCAAATTGCGGAGGCAGACGTTTTGTGAGAAAAGAAAAGAGGTCTTTTGTCCAAAACCTGCACAATCTGGGAGGATGGGGAGGTCCTGCCTCAAAGCCCATCCCCTCCACAACCACCGGAGGAAAACCCAGCCACCCTCTGCCACACCAGTCCAAGGCAGCGCACAGAGTTCCTCCTCCCACTTGGAAATACCGCCCCGCTCGGAAACCGCAGGCGACTGCCGCACAATCATCCAGGTGGCTTAGCTCGCTCCCGGCTGCAGTCGGGCCTCGGGCTCCTTCCTGGGGGCCCCATGGATGGGCGGCGCCGCCACCGGTCACGCGGCTTAAAGGGCCCGAAAGGCCCCGGGAGTCCCCGGACCTGCGGCCGGCAAGTCCCTGGGGTGGAGAGACGGCCTCTCTCCCCTCCTTCCTGGGTCTCTGTCTCCCGGCCCAAACTTCCCCGCGCTCGCGAAGGGTCCGGCCCCCACCCCCCCTCCAGCCAATCCCGTCTTTTCCCCAGGCTAGACTGACAGGCCGTTCGCCGCACAGCACCTCCCCCTGCCGCCATCTTGACCTCTAAGGTACCGGCGCGCTGCATCCTCTGGTGCCACCTCCTGCCCTCGGGGTCTGGAAGGAAGTAGCGGGGCTGGTGACTTTGTCCGGTGGGGTCTTGCGCGGGGGAGGGACGGAGTCTCGCCCCCCGCTCCCCGAGCTAGCCTCCTGCGGCCCCTCCCCTCTGAAATACGCACTCAGAAAGGAAACGTCCTGAACCAACCAACGGTCAAACAGGATGATACAATACGTTTCCTGGGGTCTTTGCGCGGCTGTTCGGAACCTTCCTCGACCATATAGACTCTAGTCCTGCCTCTTGCCACGCTTTGCTCCACTGCGGTGACCATTCAGGAGCACACCACAGTTCAATCCTTTTGCCCACGTGTGGGGAGGAAGCACCATTCTAACCTCCATTCGATCCCAAGAAAGACTCTTGTGTGGAAGGAAAAGATAAACCCGGGGAGGCCCGAAAGAGGCAACCTAACCCCCCAGGACGGAAGTGTGACATTTCTGTTCGTTCGATTTTCAAAGACATGCAACACCCCTCCCCCGGCCCACAAGTCTACCCCGTGAATGGAGCCTTGACCGGACATTCTGTTCAAGTTTTCCTTTCACTGTTGCAAGGTTAGGTTACTGCGTAATCTGAAAAACCTTGAATGAGGATTAAAACAGTTTCGTGTGAAATTGGTGACGAAACTCTGGTCTTAGTATTTACGTTTAATTGACACTCTGTTGCGTGCCCTTTTCCCTCTTAAAAGAAGGCGAGAGGCCGAGCCCTGACTGTCTCCCTCCGTGGCGCCGTAAGCGCTGGGCGCCGGTTGCGGCGAGATCACGTCCTCCGGGTTCAGGACCCGTCGCCTAGCAGCCACCCCGCCCGCGATAAACCCCGGGCAGAATGCCAGACACCGCGCCGGGGAGGTCACAATGGGGGCGTGGTGTATGCAGATGAGCAGGAGCGCAGAGGCTGCCGGTCCTACTCCGCCTGCGCCTACACGTCCCGCGTCCCGAGAGGCGAACGCCACCGCCGAGGTGGTTTCCGCGATGGACGTGGTTGGAGCGAGGCTCGGACGAGGTTGGGACGAGAGACTGTCGGGCACCGAGGGTGCGGAGTGGGCGCGAGGAAAGTTACCGCGAGTGTGAAGGGAGACGAGCGCGAGGGTTCGTGGGGAGGCGGGCATGGCAACTCATACTTACCTGGCAGGGGAGATACCATGATCACGAAGGTGGTTTTCCCAGGGCGAGGCTTATCCATTGCACTCCGGATGTGCTGACCCCTGCGATTTCCCCAAATGTGGGAAACTCGACTGCATAATTTGTGGTAGTGGGGGACTGCGTTCGCGCTCTCCCCTGGTGTCGTTTTGTTTAATGTCAGACCAGAGGGGCCGCGGAAGTGTGTCTCTTCTCTACGAGCTAGACTCGCTGGTAGGAGGAGCTCGGTGGTGGCTTTCTTTCTTACTTTTTTCTTTTTATCTTTTTTTTCTTTTTCTCCTGTTGTGTGGTGGGTTTTTTTTTTTTCTTTCTTTCTCTCTCTCTGTGTTCTCCAGCGAGAGCGCTGACGGAGCCCTGTGTTTTGTTTTGTCCCACTCTCCGGCTGCCGCACCCGTCTTTATTTTCCTGTGGTTCTTTTCTGCACCGTATCTTTCCTTTTCGTGTAGTTCAAGTTTTTAATCTTCCCGTTTGCAGGCCTACCGGCGGCTTTCGCTTGCTGCCCCCGGTTGCGGGACTCACTGGTTTATTTCACCTAACCATGATGTTTTTTTCACGTCCACCCGTGCCCCTCCACAGGATAAAATTTTCTTTCTTTTTACGGCCGAGTACAATTCCATCGTACAACAGGTTGAGGTTCAACTCCGAGAGAGCAAATAACCCAATTGAAAAGGTGGGCAAACCACCGGAATACAACTCCCTCCCCCGAAGAAGACATGCAAAAAGATGCTCGCAGTTCCTGAAATCCTCACAGAAATGCAAATAAAATCCCCGGTGAGATACCACCTCACACCCGTCACAATGGCTGCCATCATCAACAATCAAAAAAAACAAGTGCCGGCGAGCAGGTGGACAAAGGGCTTGCACCGTTGACCGTTGGTGGCAGTGCAGGTTGCATGCAGCCACTGTGGAAGGAGGAATGTAGATATACGCCCCTCCCCCCAACCCCATATTAAAGATCGGTCTGCCTGTTGACCCAGCAATCCCACTTCCGGGAACATATCCCAAGGAACCCAGAACACCAGTCGGAAAGGAGGTAGGCACCCCCCGTGTTGATTTCAGCGTTGTTTACAACTGCCAAGATATGGAAGCAGCCCAAGGGTCCATCAAATAGAGGAGTGGATACAACAACTATGGGACTTCTTCCGAGTTTCCATCGGCAGGAAATTGTGGGGATTTCCCCTCGAAGCAAAGAAGGGCTGCTGGTTCGCGGTGGTGGGTCGATCCTGGCGTCCACGCCGGGAATGAGAGGGGCAGGAAAATTCAGACGGCATGGGTGGAGGCGGACGTTACGATCTGTCTTGCCCACAGACAGCTTAATGTAAGATTGCACTGGAACGCCACACTCCCTGGTCTTCAGGCCTGGAGTCACTTCCCTATTCTCCCACAACCCTTTTCCCTTTCAACCCTTGTCCCCGTCCCGCCTCCCGTTTTATTTACTCTTTTCTGCATAGTGCCCCACTTAAAATGAGGATCAGTTTGAGCTCAACTTGTACAGCTCTACTGCAAAACATTAAGACTCGCCCTGGCCAGCGCAGCTCAGTTGGTTGGAGCGTCCTCCCGCAGATCTCGAAAGCTCGCAGGCTCCGTTCCCCGTCAGGGCGCACACATACCCAAGTAGCGGTTGGAGCCCCGTTCAGGGTGCGAAAGAGAAGGCACCCACTCGATGTCTGTCTCGGCAACGAAAACATTTCCTCGAGTGACGGTACTACAACCACCACCACCACCACCACCACCACCACCACCACCACCAAACAAAAACCCAAAACTACCAACCCATTATGGACACTGTATAAGCTTTTCCAAACCAGGTGCTGCCAGTCTTTGAGCCTCACCGGTCTACAGTACAGGCCTGACCCACTTTCTCCTGCAGTTTCTTCTCCTGCCGCCCTCCATTCTCAAAACAAGCCCCTCCTCGCCCTGGCTGGCATGGCTCAGTTGGCTGGGAGTCTGCTGCAAAGCGAAAAGTTGCTGCTTCAATCCCGATCAGGGCACATGCCTGGTTCGAGGGCCCTCCTGCAAGAGGCAACCCATGGGTGTTTCTCTCCCTCTTGTCCCTTCTAAAAATAAGTAAAAAAAAACCGAAACTAAAACAAGCTCCTCATCATCCCACGTCCCCTGGGTCCCACCCAAATATTCACTCCCCCAGGCTGGCTTCTTTTATCAGGGCCAAAAAAGCTGTGAGCTTTGGAATCTCCAAGTTTGTCCTGAATATGCAAAGTAGAATCTTTACTAAGGATGCCCTTGAGGGAGTAACATATTCTTTACCTAATTTATAGGATTTGTTTGTGAGAAGACCCTTGCCAAGTGTGGCAGTCAGCTCATTTATATGCTAAGCCACCCTCCGCTTCCTGCCCCCCACACTGCTGCTTCCTGTCTATCCTCACTCCAACAAGTGCTCCAAAAATGCAAGGGGCCAGGGGATGTACCCTCTGCTCTACCTCCTTCCCTGCAAGGCCACTTTGGCACAAACGGGTTAACTGATGGATGTGTATAGCTTTTTGGACTCTACTTGCTATTGCTTAGCATTTACAGAGGACCTTCACATTTCCAAAGCACTGTACCAACATTTATTGATCCTCACAACACCCCTGTGAGGTAGGTCAGTATGTCCTTTATGGTAGAGAAACGGAAGCAGAAAGAGGTCCAGTGAACCAGCTTGAGACCACAAGGCCACCCCGTGATAAAGGAACCCCATTGAATCCAGAACCTGGGGTTCTCCATCCCTCATTCACTCACTTGGTAAGCATTGCATGGGCGTATTTTCACCAGTGAAGGAGACAGGAAAGACAGAACACAGAAATCTCTCAGTCAACAGAAAAATCAACAGTTCAAATGGCATCAGAGAACATCAGGTAAAGACAGAAACATTAACCAGCACAGCACTGAGGCTGTGGAGGAAGACCAGAGTCATCCTGACTAGCCTCGGGACCTAGACCAGCCATTCTTCAGAATGGCTTGGGAAGATTTACGCAAACTAGGAACCCATCGAAGGGTAACCAACCCATAAATGCCTGTGGTTTCCAAAGGGGAGAAAACTTAAGAAAAAGGCTGTGGTGCCCTAATGCTGCAGAGCTTGGTTGGGTGCCGTCCTATGAAGAGGTCTCCACTTCGATTCCCCGGTCAGGAGGCATGCCTGGGTTGCAGGCCAGGTCCCCAGTTGGGGTGCCAACAAGAGGCAGCCGATCAACTGATCGATGTTTCTTTCACGTCAATGTTTCCCTCTTCCTCCCTCCCTACCCCTCTTTCTAATAAATAAAATCTTTAAAAAGACAGTGGAAAAATCCAACCTCTCAATCTAATTTTAAAATGGCCTAATGTTCATTCACATTAGAAGTGCTGTTCCCATAGCTGACTTCTCTCTCTACATACTAATCTATTCACTGGCATAACTACGAAAGGGCTCAATGGCATATGTCACATGGGTGGTTGGCCAGGCTAAGGAAGGAATCCAGGAAACTGTAACAGACCATATTTCCAGCTCCTATATTTTAAAAAGAGCTGTCCTTCTGCCCTGACTGGTGTGGCTCAGTGGATTGGGCATCCCCCTACAAACTGAAATGTCAGTTCAATTCCCAATCAGGGCACATAGCTGGGTGGCCCTGCTGGGGGCATGCAAACAATAACCGATAGCTGTTTCTCTCCCTTTCTCCTTCATTTCTCCCCCTCTCTTAAAAAAAAAATCTTTAAAAGAAAAGGAGGGGGGGGGAAGCTATTGTCTCTAACCTGCCTCCACCCAATTCCATCTTCTATGAAGGGATCAAAGCACAGAAGCAGTTTATTCCTTTGTAAAGGGATTGGTGAAATTGGTTCAATATGTCACTTTAAAGGAAATACCAAAAGACCTGTTCTGTAAATCATGATATAGGAGTAGGTTATAGCTAATCCAGATTTTAGAGTGATACAATGACACAGAGTTAAAAACCATCACTGTTATCACTGTTTATTTGACAATAGTTGGTTTAGTCTACAAGTTTAAGGCAAACATACTAATGCATTTGCTTTTCTTCAGAAATCATAATTAGAAAGATTACACAAAGTCTGTTCCAAAACTTCTAAGAAATACTGATTAATTAAAAATAAGTCTGATTAGGATGCTTTACCAGGATACATAAACAAACAAAAGGAAATGGCAATCTTTATCTTGTTTGAAGAATATATTTTGAAAGGGTTAAACTTCAGAAATCACTTAGAGGTAAATAAGATTGGCAGCCATAAGGAATACTATTCATAAAATAAAGTTATAGAGGCTACTTAAAAAAAGAATAAACTTTGGGCTTTTGAAAAGGAGACGCATGAGCGACGACTGCCCCAGGGAGTAGCAGGTGCAGAAGCGCAGCGCTGACCACAGGCCGGCAGCACCTGTGGACGGCAGCATTCCACTGTTTCTCAGAGAGGAGAGGAGATGTACTTTGTCAGCTGTTTCTTTTGCTTCCAGTGAAGAGTAAATGCCTAACATCATTAAGAAAACAGAAATAAAGTCTGAAGGAAAGCAGCCCTTTTTAAACCGAGGGTGGAATGTGGCTTATGTATCTCCATTTAACACTGCCAGGCAATTCTGCAGCAACTGTAGGTTACCCTGAAAAGGAAGGGACAATAAACAATGAAGTTCAAACAGGCTGGAAGAGCCTTACTGAACATATGAAGTATTTGAAATCACAAACCTATTACTTTGTTAAGGTATAAGAATTTTGGAAACAGCTACTTATTGTAACAAAGGTTCAAAGACATAAAATTATATTATGTTTCATGTACAATATTTTCCACATGCTAGATTCTTCAGTAAATTTCCATCCAGACCAATATGAATGGCCTTATTTGGCATTTTTTAATGAGGAATAAAAGATGTCCTTTCTGTCCAAGTTAAACTACTGTACATTTTCTGACCCTAAGATAAGTTATCACTTTCCTTTAGCCATTGACATAGATATTAGCATAGATTTATAGCAGTTTTTACAAAAATAGTAAGATTACATACAAAAGTATTCTATAAAACTTGTACTCAAGTACCCATTTATAAAACATGTAAACTGGCATCCAAATTTAAGTACTGGATCAGGCAAAAGTATGTTTGCAGTTATGAATATGCAAAACATAGCTTATTCCTGTATTATTCTTTGTAATTACTATATTCTTTTCCAAACAAATTATAAACCTATTTTGCCCCACCTGAATGTGTAGATTATATCATATATAAATGGGGGTGAAGGAAAACCTCTATTTTTAAAGCTCTTTTTTTTAAATTAAAAAAATATTTCTTTTATTCTTACAGAGAGGGGAAGGGAGGGAAAAAGAGAGGTAGAGAAGCATCATTTGGTTGTCTCTTGTGCACTGGCCTGCAACCCTGATATATGCCCTGACTGGGAATCAAACCAGTGACCTTTTGATTTGCAGTCCAATGCTCAATCAACTGAGCCACACCAGTTAGGTCGGAAAATATCTTCCTTTAAGTAAAAAGTCAACCAAAATGTATAAAGAGTGATGGAATTGGAAAATGACCATTAGGCAACCATCATGACAATACTTGATTCAGGCAAAAATCATGAATAGATGCTAAAGTGCTGAAGCTGTAGCCATTAGCTACGTGCTATTATATAAAATTTAAATTTCTTTCGGTCTTTTTAAAAAGACTTTATTTTTAGAGAGGGGAAAGGAGGGAGAGAGCAAGAGAAACATTAACGTGTAGCTGCTGCTTGCATGCCCCCAGGCAGGGAGCCGGCCCACAACCCAGGCATGTGCCCTGACTGGGAATCGAAGCTGCAACCTTTGGTTCGCAGGCTGGCACTCAATCCACTGAGCCACACCAGCCAGGGCTGAAATTTAAATTTCTGTTAATCAAAAGTAAATAAAAGCTCTGTTCTTCAGTGGCACTGTCCACAAAATTTCAAGTGTTTGACAGCCACAAGGGGCTAGTGGCTACATAATGGACAGTAGTGACTGAGTGATGAGATTATTTACACAATTAAGAATACTTCTTAATTCCTGCCCTAGTTGGTGTGGCTCAGTGGACTGAGTGCCAGCCTATGAACCAAAAGGTTGCCGGTTCAATTCCCAGTCAGGGCATATGCCTGGGTTGTGGGCCAGGTCCTCAGGTAGGGGTGTGCAGGGGGCAATCAATTGATGTTTCCCTGGCCAATTGATGTTTCCTGCCCTCCCCCTCTTTCTAAAAGTAAGTAAATAAAATTTTTAAATAAATAAATAAATAAGCAAGTAAGCAAGCAATGACAGGAGGGTAGTAATATTATAAAAAGCTTGTTGAGGCATATGGGATGAAAAATATTTAGCCCAAAGATGTCTACCCTGGAGGAGAGAAGATGTACAGGTAATATAAAGTATTCATACATCTGAAGGGTAAACTGTAAAAGAGGGATTAAAATTTCTTATTTTACATGACAAAACTTTGACAAATGTCAAAATTAGAGAGGTAGATTAGTTTTTAAGCTTTAATAACTTTAGAAATATAAATGCTATAACTATCAAAATTAAAAGTTTAAGTTTCTTTAATACTTAGTTTCATGATTTTGAATACATTTTTAATTGTGAGTCTCTGAAGATAGCAACAGTAAATTTTCAAATGATGTTTGTTTATATTTTGTTTATATTCAGAAATATTTTTTAAACTGGTCAAAAAAATGATATTTGTTTCCATATTAGATACTAGAAGCTTGCAGAGCTATCAGAGACATTACTGATATTATGGTTCTTAGTGTTCTTAATTTTTTCCATATTTTTCTATGCCACACAATAAAGTACTTCTCATAATGTATATACTCAATAAATATGGGTAACTGACAAAAAAAGATTCTTGTTTGAATAAGATAATTTTTAAAATCCCTCTCAATTCTACGATCTTTTTATTTTAAAAATTACCATAAGGTTTGGGCTAACCTTTATATTAACTACAAGAAAGGGCTCAGTTTGAAGTAAACAAATACTGTAAAAAACACCCAAAAGGGGTTTTTTTTTTGTTTTTTGTTTTTACTAAAACCAAGTATTTTTAGGGAGTAGAACAATCTTGGAAAATGTAATTTCAATTCAGGAATAATTCTTATAGTATCATCCCCTGGAATCAATTTCATAATTGACTCATTTCTAAATTATAAGTTCCAAATTATTAAACCTTTAATACGACATTACCTTTGCATGCTTCAGCTCTAACTCTGCTAGTTCCACTAAATTTTTTCTGAATGCTGCAACTCGTCTTGTCTTAAAATCTATAAGTTCTGTGTAGAAAAGAAATCAGGATTAATTATTTAATTTACATACTAGTAAAGCATATCTTATTAAAGGTTAACATAACAGTACCTTGTTTTGCAGATTCTGATATTTTTTCAAATTTCTGACAACATAATTGTTGGGACATTTCAGCCTGTAGAACATCTTTATTTTTTGCTCTTGCTTTATCCAGTGCTTTATTAGCATTTTCATAATCCACTAGTGACCTAGATCTTCGATAGAGGAGATCCTATAGAACAAAACACTTCACAATAATAAATGCTGCACATTTCTGGTAGTTACACTCAACCACCACCACTACCACCTCTGCTGCCTGCTGCCTTCACCGCTGCCCCCACTGCCACCATCTAATTGTCCTCGGGGCTAAATACCGCAGGCTAGTTACTCTTCTGTTTTTGGGGTTTTTAAAAAAAAAAATAACAGCTCTACTGGGACATAATTTACATACCATATAGCGCCCTCAAAGTGCACAATTCACTGGTTTTTAGGATGCTCAGAGTTGTTTTACCATCACTACCATCAATTTTACTTTATTTTTAAAAAGATTTTACTTATTTTTAGAGAGGGGAAGGGAGGGAGAAAAGGAGGGAGAAAAACATCAACGTGCAAGAGAAACATCAGCTGTCTCTCGCATACCACCAACTGGAAACCTGGCCAGCAACTCAGGCATGTGCTCTGACTAGGAATTGAATGGGCGACCTTTCAGTTTGCAGGATGGCGCTCAACCCACCGAGTTACACCAGTCAGGGCACTACAATCAATTTTATAATATTCTTATCATTTTAAAAGAAATCCCATGTCCATTAATAGTCACTTTCCATACTCACTCCCCGCCCACAACCATTAATGCTTTCTGTCTGTATAAAATTGCCTATTTGGGACATTTTATTAAAAAATGAAATCATACAATATGTGGCCTTTTAAACTGAGCATAAGTTTCCAGTTTATCTGTTAATATTTCATTGTATGAATTTACCACGTTGATTTATCTATTCATCAGTTGACAGACATTTAGATTTGTTTTCACATTTTGCCTACCATTAGTAATGTTGTTATGAACATCTGTGCACAAGTTTTTGTGTGGACATATTTTCATTTCTCTTATTTATTTATTAATTATTATGCCTTTTAAAACCTTTTTTCATTTCTCTTTTATATCTAATTACTTAGGAGTGGAATTACTGGCTCATCTGGTATAGAGAAACTGCCAGACAGTTTCCAAAGTGGCTGCAGTGTATGAGTGTTCCAATTTCTCCACATCCTTGTTAGCACTTATCTTTTTGATTAAAGCTACCTAGTGGGTGTGAAGTATCTCAGTGTGGTTTTGATTTGCATTTCCCTGACAGCTAATGATACTGAGCACCTTTTTAAAAAAAGATTATTTATTTATTTATTTTTAGAGAGGGGAAGAGAGGGAGAGAAACATCAATGCGTGGTTGCGCCTCGCGTGCCCCCTGCTGGCGACTTGGCCTGCAACCCAGGCCTGTGCCCTACACTAGGAATCGAACTGGTGACCCTTTAGTTCGCAGGCGCAGGCCTGCACTCAATATATTGAGCCAAAAGATATCAAGCATCTTTTTATGTATTCATTAGCCATTTGTATCTTCTTTGGAGAAATGTTTATTCAAGATCTTTGCTCATTTTTTAAATTGAGCTATTTGTCTTTTTATCGAGTTACGTGAATTCTTTATATATTCTGGATCCCAGTCACTTTCAGGGACTCACATGATTTACAAGTATTTTCTCCTTATCTGTGCATACTCTTTTTACTTTTCTTGATAGTGTCTTTTGCTGCACAAAAGTTTTTAACTTTAATTAAGTCTTATTTTTCCTTTGCTGCCCTTCTGATGTCATATCTAAGAAACCAGTAACTAATTGAAGGTCACAAGGATATATGTTTATGTTTTCTTTTAAGAATATTACAGTTTTAGTATTTGGCCAGGTAGCCCAGTTGGTTAGAGCAGTGCTCTGATATGCCAAGGCTGCAGGTTTGATCTCTGGTTAGGGCACGCACGAGGAACAATCAATGCAGACATGGATGGGCGGAACAGCAGATTGATGTCTGTCTGTCTCCCTCTCCCATGAATAAATAAAAATATTAAAAACTGTTATAGCTTTAGCTCTTACACTAGGTCTTTGATCCATTTTTAGTACATTTTTGTAAATGATATAATGAAAGGGTCAACTTTATTCTTTCTCATGTGACTATTGTCCCAACATCATTTGTTCAAAATCTTTACGTTTCTCCACTAAACTGGCTTAGCATCCTTGTCAAAAATCAATTGACTGTCTCAGCAAACTAGGAACAGAAGGAACTTTAACTTGATAAAGAACACCTACAAAAACCCTACAGCTAAATCGCACATAATGGTAAGAAATTATAAACTTTTCCACTAATTTTAGGAAGGTAAGGATGTCCCATGTCACCACTTCTTCTCAATATCGTATTGGAAGTCCTAGCTAATGCAGTAAGAAAAGGAAATAAGTATATAGATTGGGAAGAAAGAAATAAAACTGTCTTTGTTCACAAATAACAAGACTGTTTATATAGAAAGCTGAAAAAAAAATCACAAGAAACTCCTGTATTAATAAATGAGAATAATGAGGTTGTAGGATATAACAAAATATACAAAAGTCAACTATTTCTTAGATACTAGCAATGAATCAGTAAAATTGGAAATAAAAAATAAATACCATTAGTACCCTAGAAGATGAAATACTTAAGTATCAATCTAACAAAATATATGCAATATCTATATAAGGAAAACTACAAAACTGACAAAAAGAAACTAAACAAATGGAGAGGCCCTGGCCTGGTGGCTCTGTTGGTTAGAGCACTGTCCCGATAAGTCAAGGTTGCGGGTTTGATCCTGGTCAGGGTACATACACGAATCAACCAATGTTTCTCTCTCTCAAATTAATAAATACAAAAATTTAAATAAAAAATAAATGGAGAATTATTCCATGTTGATAGGGAGACTCAACATTGTCAAAATCAGTTCTTTCCAATTTGAGCTACTGATTCACATCAGCTTTATTTGTAATAGCTGAAAGCTTTGTATGTAGGTATCAACAAAATGATTCTAAAGTTCATGTGGAGAGGAAAAAGACACAGATGACCAATGCAACACTGAAGGAGCAAAACAAAGAAAGCTGACACTACCTATTTGAAGCCTTACAATAATCTAAACCAGGTGATAGAGGAAAAAAAAAAATAGATCAACAGAACAGAACAGAGCCCAGAACAAGAACCACAAAAATACAGTCAACTGATCTTGGATAAAGGAGCAAAGGCAATACAATGGAGAAAAGCTAGTCTCTTCAACAAATGGTGCTGGGAAAACTGGACGATCATATACAAAAATTAATTTAAAATAAATTACAGACCTACATATAAAACACAAACTATAAAACACCTAGAAGATAGCATAGGAGAAAATCCAAGTGACCTTGGATTTGGTGATGACTTTTTAGATATAACACCAAAGACATATTTATGAAAAAAGTAACTGATAAGGTGAACTTCTTTAAAATTAAAATTTTCTGCTATGCAAAAGACACTGTCAAGAGGATGAGAAGACAAGTCACAGACCAAGACAAAATATTTAAAAAAGATGTATCTGATAAAGGATTACTATCTAAAATACACAAAGAACTCAACAATGGGAAATGAACTCAATTAAAAAATGGGCTAGCTAACAGCCAATGTTTTTTAAGCAGACACTTCATCAAAGAAGATACATAAATGACAAATGTGTGAAAAGATGCTTCATTTACATTGTATGTCTTCAAAGAAATGCAAATTAAAACAATGAGATACCAGGTAGCTTGGTTAGAGTGTCATCCTGATATAACAAGGTTGTGGGTTCAATCTCTAGTCAGGGCACATACAAGAATCAACCAATGACCCTGACTGGTGTGGCTCAGTGGATTGTGTGCCAGCCTGTAAACCAAAGGGTCGCCAGTTCGATTCCCAGTCAGGGCACATGCCTGGGTTGCAGGCCAGGCCCTCAGTAGGGGGCACTCAAGAGGCAACCCCACACTGATGTTTCTCTTCCCCTCTCTAAAAATAAATAAAATCTTAAAAAAAAAAAAAAGAATCAACCAATGAATGCATAAATAAGTGGAACAACAAATTGATGTTTCTCTTTCTAAAATCAGTAAGACAAACAAACAAAAAAACCAACGAGATACCATCACACATCTGTTAGAATCGCCAAAACACACAACATTGACAATACCAAATGCTGGTAAGAATGTGAAGCAACAGGAACTCTCATTCACTGCTAGTGGAAATGCAAAATGGTAACAGCCTTTCTGGAAAATGGTTTGGCATAACTAAACAAACTCTTTCCATATGAGCTAGCAATTGTGCTCCTTGGTATTTATTTAAGAGTTGAAAATTTATGTTCAACCCAAAACCTGCACATGAACGTTTATAGCAGCTTTATTCATAATTACCAAAACCTGTCAAGCAACTAACATGTTCTTCAGTAGGTCACTGGATAAATAAATGTGGTAAATCCAGACAATGGAATATTATTCAGTGCTAAACAGAAATGAGTTACCAAGCCATGAAAAGACATAGAGGAAACTTAAATGCATATGACTAAATGAAAAAAAAAAGACAATCTAAAAAGGCCAAACTAGACTTTCGGCCAAGATGGAGGTATAGGTAGATACACTTTGATTCCTTGCACAACCAAAAGGACAACAACAAATTTAAAAACAAAAAACAACCAGAACTGCCAGAAACTCAAACTGTATGAAAGTCCGACAACCAAGAAGCTAAAGAAGACATTCATCCAGACCAGTAAGAGGTGTGGAGACAGGCAGCCAAGGTGGAGAGGACACAGTAAGGTGGCAGCTGGCAGACTCGGCGGTCCCACATTTGTGTGTGGATAAACCATGAGGAGCAGCTGGGGAGTGAGACAGACCACACAATCCAGTGCTTCCAGTGCAGGAAAAGAAAGCCTGAGAACCTCTGAGGGTAAAAACTGGCAGGGGCTGCAGCAGCAGAAGAAACTTCCAGCCTCACAGGTGAGTTTGTTGTAGAGACCCACGGGATCCTACAACGTACACAAACCCAGAAGGGCCCAATTTGCTTGTGGGTAGCAGGGGAAGTGACTGAAAGCCAGCCAACGTCCAAGCAAGTGGCACTGTTCCCTCTCCGACTCCTACCCCCCACACAGCATCACAACCCAGTGGCCTGGAGAATACCTAAGGCTCTGCCCCTTCCAATGTAACAGGCCCACTGAGACAAAGAAAAATGGCCCAAATGAAAGAACAGATCAAAGCTCCAAAATTAGAACTAAGTGATGAACAGATAGCCAACCTATCAGATGCAAAGTTCAAAACACTGGTAATCTGGATGCTCACTGAAATGGCTGAGTACGGTCGCAAAATGGAGGAAAAAGGGAAGACGATGCAAAGTGAAATAAAGGAAAATACACAGGGAACCAATAGTAAAGGGAAGGAAACCAAGACTCAAATCAACGACTGGGAGCAGCAGGAAGAGAGAAACATTCAACCAGAACAGAATGAAGAAACAAGAATTCAAAAAAAAAGTGAGGAGAGGCTTAGGAACCTCTGGGACAACTTTAAAGGTTCCAACATCTGAATCATAGGGGTGCCAGAAGGAGAAGAGAAAGAGCAAGAAATTGAAAACTTATATGAAAAAATAATGAAGGAGAACTTCCCCAATCTGGCCAAAGAAACAGACTTCCAGGAGATTCAGGAAGCTCAGAGAGTCCCACAGAGGTTGGACCCAAACAAGCACACACCAAGGCACATCATAATTAAGTTACCCAATATTAAAGGTAAGGAGAGAATCTTAAAAGCAGCAAGAGAAAAGGAGACAGTTACCTACAAAGGAGTTCCCATAAGACTGTCAGCTGATTTCTCAAAAGAAACCTTGAAGGCAAGAAAGGGCTGGCAAAAAGTATTCAAAGTTATGAAAGACAAGGATCTACACCCAAGATTACTCTGTCCAGCAAAGCTATCATTTAGAATGGAAGGGCAGAGAAAGTGCTTCCTAGATAAGGTCAAATTAGAGTTCATCATCACCAAGCCCTTATTTTATGAAATGTTAAAGGGATTTATCTAAGAAAAAGAAGAGATAAAAAACTATGAATAGTAAAATGACAAAAAACTAACATCAACAACTGAACCTAAGAAACAAAAACAAACTAAGCAAACAACTAGAACAGGAAATGAATCACAGAAGTGGAGATCAGAGGGGAGGTTGAGGAGGAAGAATGGCAGAAAAGGTACAGTGAATAAGCAGCATAAACAGTAGGTACAAAACAGACAGGGGGAAGTTAAGAATAGTGTAGAAAATGGAGAAGCCAAAGAACTTATGTATATAACCCGTTAAGAACTTAGTATAAACTAAGGTGGAGGGAATGCTAGGGGGAAGGGCGGTGGAGAAAAAAAACTGGGACAACTGTAATAGCATAATCAATAAAATATGTATTTAAAAAAAGGCCAAACTATGTGACAGTCTGAAAAAGGCAAAACTATGAAGACAATAAAAAAAACAAGAGTTAAGGGGAAGGAGGATGAATAGAATGGAACACAGAGGATTTTTAGGGCCGTGAAATTATTCTTATGATACTTATAATGGTGGATACATGTTGTCACACATTTGTTAAAACACACAAAATGTACAACACTAAGAGTGAACTCTAGTATAAACTATGTTCTTTGTTATCTGGCTTCTTTCACAATCTTTTATTTTCAGATTCGTCCATGTTGTTGCTGGTATGAGTAAGCAATTCATTCCTTTTTACTGCAGAGTTACATTCAATTACATGTGATACAACAATTTGTTTATTCACTCACCTGCTGGTGGACTTTTGGGTTGTTTTTGCTAGATTTCAGCTATGACAAATAAAGCTGATGTTAACATCTCTAAAGACATATGCTTTCAAACACCTAAATTAGAATGACTGGATCATAGGGTAGTAGTCTATGCTTAATTTTTAAAGAAACAGTGACACTTTTCCAAAGTATTGTATCGTATTTCCACTAATAGTGTGAGAGAGTTCCGGCTGCTATAATTTTTGACAAATATTTTCATTTTAGCTATTCTAATTAAGGTGTATAGTGATACCTCATTGTAGTTTTAATTCTTAAAATTAAGTTTCAATTCTTTCTCTTGTGGTTATTAAAAATATGAATTTACTTTTAAGATTTTATTTATTCATTTTAGAGAGAGGGGAAAGGAAGGAGAAAGAGAGGGAGAGAAATGTGTGAAAGAAACATAGATCAGTTGCCTCTCTCACGCCCCCAGCTGGGGACCTGGCCCACAACCCAGGCATGTGCCCTGACCGGGAATCAAACCAGCGACCATTCAGTCCACAGGCCAGTGCTCAATCCATTGAGCCACATCAGGTAGGGCAAAATATGAATTTACTTTTAAAGCCATGTTCCATTCTAAAAAGTTATCTATTAACAACTATATATTATAAAACAATAAATTTAAAGTCTTAAAAGTAAACAATTTTATCCTGGCCCATCCAATGTAAACTGCTTATAAGACAGAATCTGATTTGAAATAATTTGATATGGATGGTATATTTGCAAGTACCTAATTCCTCAAAGTTAAAAGGGCTATTTATAATGTAATAAGGCATGAAAGAATGGTGTTCAAAGCACCACTGATCAAATAGGAATTTTATGTGCAATATCTCAATTCATAAATTAACACTGATGTTGGAGTACACAAGTCACATTAAGCTTTCGGTGCTTTTAAGATGTTTTTGTTAAACTTGTATGTTTTAGTCTTGCATCTAGACAGATTTCCAAAAGGAAAATTTGAGTTGCTTTTAAATAAAACATATCCTTGTTTTATGGATTGCTCACCTTCAAGAGAGGACCTATATAGGCCAAATTAGGAATCACTTAGCTATACAACTGTTATTTGGGGGGAGGGTTACTTTTGTTTTTGCAGATATTTTACCTAAATAAATATATCAAATCCATAAGAAAAAATTTTAGACTATGTTGTATCAGAAGTTTATAGAGGGAATTTTTATGTAGGGTTCCCTGAGCTACAATTTCTAAAAGGAGAAAAAAATTTTCCACTTAAAAATATAATATAAAATCAAGAGGTAAATCATCTTTAACAAGCTTAAGTCTAACAACTGTTTTAAAAAAATATATATTTTATTTATTTTCAGAGAGGGGAAAGGAGGGAGAAAGAGAGGGAGAGAAACATTGACATGCAAGAAAAACATCAATCAGTTGCCTCTTGCATATCCCTAAGTGGGGGCCTGGCCCACAACCCTGGCCTGTGCCCTGACCAGGAATTGAACCAAGTGACCTCTCAGTTTGCAGGACAACGCCCTACCCACTGAGCCACACCAGTCAGGGCAAGTCTAGCAACCTTTAAAGAGAAGGCTTTTTGTTAAATAGTCCATTTGGAAACAAAACAATGAAACATGATACACCATGTAAACAAAATGAAGGATAAAACCCAAATGATCATATCAATAAGATGCAAAAAAAAAGCATCTGATAAAATCCAGCACCCATTTATGATAAATACTCTCAGCAAAGTGCAAAACAGGGAACATACCTCAAGGTAATAAAGACCATATATGACAAACCCACAGCTAACATCATACTCAATGGACAAAAAGTACAAGCATTCCCCTTAAGATCGGGAACAAGACAGGAATGTCTGCTTTCACCTCTCTTATTCAACATAGTACTGGAAGTTCTAGCCACAACAATCAGACAAGAAGAAATAAAAGGCATCCAAATTGGAAAGGAAGAAGTAAAAACTGTCATTATTTACAGATGACATGATACTGTATATAGAGAACACTAAAGATTCCACCAAAAAACTATTAGAACTGATAAATTCAGTAAAGTGGCAGGATACAAAATAAATGTCCACAAGTCAGCTGCATTTTTTTCCCTACCATGTAAACTGCTTCAGCGCCTGCAGCCTACTGGCAGAGGCCAGTAATGGTTCCAGGCCACAGTTTGCTCTGGCATGGGGCACTGTGACAGACCCATGGGGATGCGTCTGCCATATACCCAAACTCATGCATACTGCATTTTTATATTTTTAAATATTTGATTTATTTATAGTTTTAGAGACAGGGGAAGGTGGGGAGAAAGAAAGGAAGAGAAACATTAATCAGTTGTCTCTTACATGCCCCCAACCGGGGACCTGGCCTGCAATGCAGGCATGTGCCCTGATCAGGAATCAAAACAGCAAACTTTCGGTTCGCCGGCCGGTGCTCTATCCACTGAGACACACCAGCCAGGGCTCAGCTGCATTTTTACATCAATAATGAACTATCAGAAAGGGAAACTAAGAAAAAAATCTCATTCACAATTACTTCAAAAAATATAAAATAAAATACCTAAGAATAAATTTAACCAAGAATGTAAAAGATCTGTACTTGGAAAATTATAAGACACTGAAGAAAGAAATTGAAGAAAATACAAATAAGCATATAACGTGTTCATGGATAGGAAAAAATCAACATCATTAAAGTGTCCAACCCTGGCCAGTAGTTCAGTTGGTTCAAACATTATCCAGATATGCCAAGGGTGCAGGTTTGATTCCTGGTCAGGGCACATACAAGTATCAACCAATGAATGCATAAATAAGCAGAACAGCAAACTGATGTTTCTTTCTTTTCCTCCCTCCCTCTGTCCCCCTTCCTCTGTCCCCTCCTCTTTCTCTCCCCCCGCTTCGCTCCCTCCTTCCTCTCTCTCTCTAAAATCAATCAATAAAATTAAAAAAATTAAGATGTCCATATTAGTCAAAACAATCTGTAGGTTCAATGCAATTCCTACCAAGATAAAATTTCACAGAACTAAAACACATATTCCAAAAATTTATATGGAACCACAAAGACCCCAAATAACTACAGCAATCTTGAGAAAGAACAGAGTTGGAAGAATCATGCTACCTGATATCAATCTATATTATAAGGCCACAGTAATCAAAACAGCATGGTACTGGCATAAAAACAGACACATAGATCAGTGGAACAGAATGGAGAGTCCAGCCCTGACTGGTGTGGCTCAGTGAGCTGGGTGTCCTCATGCAAATGGAAAGGTTGGCAGTTTGATTCCTGGTCAGGGTAGATGCCTGGGTTACGAGCCTGGTTCCTGGTGGAAGGGGTTCAAGACTGATTTTTTTTCTCTCCCTTTCTCCCTCCCTTCCCCTCTCTCTAAAAATAAATAAAATCTTTAAAAAAGTAGAGTCTAAAAATAAATGCATGCCTTTATAGTCAATTAATATATGACAAAAGGAGGCAAAAATGTACAATGGAGTAGATAGTCTATTAAAAAATGGTGTTGGATGAGTGGATAAAAAAGCTGTTGTACACTTACACAATGAAATACTACTTGGCTGAAAAAAAAGAAAGAAATGTTTCCTTTTGCCACAGCATGGATGGACCTGGAGAATATTATACTAAGTGAAACAAGCCAGTTGAAGAAAGACAAGTACTGTATGATTTCACTCATATGTAGAATATAGTTAACAAAGCAAGCTAACAAACAAAACAGAAACAGACTCATAGAGAACGGACTGACAGGTGTCAGAGGGGAGGGGGGCTGCAGTGCTGGGTAAAAAGGCGAAGGGACTAAGCAAAACAAACATCCATCATAGACACAGACAACAGTAAAGTTATTACTAGAGGGAAATGGAGGGGGGAGGGTGGGAATTAACAGGAGATAAAAGAGGGTACAGGAGGGTTAAATGGTGATGGAAGAAGATTTGACTTGGGGTGGTGAACACACAATGCAATATACAGATGATATATTATAGACTGTATATATGAAACCTATATATATTTTATTAACCAATGTCACCCCAATAAATTCAATAAAAAAGAATAAAAACCCAACAAACAACAGTTACCTTAGCAGCTTGAGATTCTCTTAAGTAATATTTCAAAAGGTCAGAAAGTTTGAGGTCCTCATCAGCAGACACTCTTGCTTCTATTTTCTGAAAAAGGGAAAAACTGGGCATTTAATCATCACTTACATTCCACACTCAGTGTTTTCTTAATTACAGTAAAAAAGTTAAAGCTAATAAATAATAACTATGACCCACCAATTCCCCTTCTAGTTATATATACCCAATAGAAATGTACATTTATGTTCAACTGAAGATATACAAGAAGGGTCTTAGCAGTGCCATTTGTAAAGAGCTCCAAACTAGAAACTTCCAAATGTCTACCAACAGAACAGATAAATTTAGATATATTCTTGCAATGAGATAATATACAATAAGAATGAAGGAAATATACCTATATGTAACAACATGGATACATCTGACATACATAATGTTGAGTAAATGAAACCAGACATAAATGAATGTATACTACATAATACATTTATACAAAATATGAAAATAAAACTAATCTATGCTGTTAGAAGCTAGGATAATGGTTAGCCTTAAGAAGGTAACTCAGAAGGCAGCTGAAGCAGTGGGCAGGGCATCTGAGTTGCTGGTAATGTTCTCTTTTTTTCTTTCTTTTTTCTTTTTTTTAAAGATTTAAAACATTTATTTTTAGACAGAGGGGAAGGGAGAGAGGAAGAGGGAGAGAAACATCAATGTGTGGTTGCCTTGTGCGTCCCCAACTGGGTACCTGGCTCGCAACCCAGGCTTGTGCCCTGACTGGGAATTGAACATGTGACCCTTTGGTTTTCAGGCCGGCACTCAATCCAGTGAGCCACACCAGCCAAGGCCTCTTTTTCTCTTTTTTAAAAACTTTGTGTGATCTAATTTGGTATATTCAGCTGCAGAAATAAAGTCATTGAGGAGACGTATATTTTACTTTTTCTCATTCAAGGACATGTTCACAGGTTTTCAGGCAGAGGACATGAGGAAGGGAGAACGGGAGAAAAAGAGGGAAACATCGGTCAGCTACCTTTTGTATGTGTCCAGATCAGGGATGGAACTCGCAACCTAGTTATGCGCTCTGACCAAGAATCGGACTGGTGACCTTTTGGTGTACGGGATGACACTCCAACCGAGACACACTCGCCAGGGCAATGTTCTCTTTCTTGGTTTGGTTGTTCATTACACAGCGGTGTAAAATTTGTAAAATTTCACTGAGAATTATACTTCTGATAGGCGTTCTTTCCTATATGTATAATATACTTCAATACAGATATCTGAAGCTTCTAAAAAGAATATTACTTTATGGAGAACTAAACTTAGGGAACTTTTTAACCTAAAAGATAAGAGCATAAATACAAAGTACGACGGCAGACCCCCAAAACCCCAGAATTTATTTATAAAATATTGTATATTTATTCTTACATGTTTGAACTTCAGTCACCTTCAAAGTATTGTCCATTTGATGCAATACACCTATCGAGCTGTTTTCCTCCACTGCTCAAAACAGTGTTTGAACTCATTGATTTTGTTGCTTTGTAGTGGTTCTGCTGTATTTTGTTTTATCTCTTCCGCATTAGCAAAATATTTCCCTTTGGGGACTCTTTTCATCCCGGGAAACAACCAGGAAACAACAACAACAAAAAGTTGCTTGGGGCAAGGCTGGGTAAATAGGGTGGGGCACAGGGGTCATGCCATTTTTGGTCACAAACTGCTGGACATTCAGTGTGATGTGAGCAGTTATGCTCATAAATCACTAATCATGAAGGGAGCAAACGTGAAACAATCTTAAAAAATTCACTGAAGCCGAATGCAGCCTCTCTCAACAACTCCAGCTGGTACACGGACACAGATGGGTTCCTAGAGCACTCACTCACCTAGCAGGGGAAGCCGGTAGGTACTACATGGGGTCTGCTCCCAAGAGGATAATTCCGTTTTATGTCGGGGGGGGGGGCCCTCATATATTCAAAAGTGATGTAGCTAAGTCAATTTAGATAAATGTAGATTGCATGCTTTTAATATAACCCCTCTCCTTATATTAAGAAGTAGGGTATGTGCCCCTCCCTATGAATCTGGGCTCTGAGGCTGCTTGACCAATACAAAAGTGAAAAGGCCTTCCAAAACTAGCAGCCTCCACTTCCCATCTTCTGGGATGCTCACTTTTGGAACCTAGCCACCATGTTGTGAAGAAGCCCAAACAACTCAGGAGAAGCCATGCGTAGGTGTTACAATCACAAGCCCTAGCAGAAGTCCTAACTGACAGCCAGTTATCAACCCTAGACAGGAGTGAAAGAGCTTTTTCAAATGATCCCAGCACCCAGCCTTCACATCTTCCCTGCTGAGGTCATCATGGAGCAGAGGCTAGCCATCACTGATATGCGCCTTCTGAATTTCTGACCCAAAGAATTCATTATCATAATAAAATGGCTGTTGTTTTAAGCTACTGACTTTTAGGCTGCTTTGTTACACAGCAAGAATAACCAGAACAAAAAGCAGACACTAAAGGAAATAAGGACTGTGGCGGCCATGGAAATGTGCCACTCAGATCTCCTTCAAGACAAAATGCTTGCTGCAAGAAGCACAGCTGTTGACAGTCCCAACTGCAACCCCCCTGGATCCAGAAACCATATTCATACCAAGGCTATGTTCCATCCTCCCCTTCTTGTCTTGCCTGTACCCAGTCAATGACAAAGGAGGAGTGCCAGCCCATTCCTGCCTGAGGCAGGTTTCCTCTAATGGGCAACTCTGGCTCAAAGACTCCCCTTGGCCTGGACAAAACTTTCTTTGAACTCTGCTACAGTCTGAAACTCTTTCTACGTAGTCCTCTTTTCTCTGCCTCTTATTTCACAGGTATAGACCTGCATTGTGGTCTGAAGGCTTTTTCTGCTCTTTCCTCTTTGCTCCTCACAATAAATCTCTTGCACATCTAATCCCATCTTGACATCTGTTTCTAAAAGAACTGACATATAAGGCTATTTTGATACATTCTTATGATGTAAATGCACACATAAAAAACCGTCTATCTTCCGATAAAATGCTCAATGGGCTCTGTGGACCTCCGTATAACAACATTTATATACTTAAGGACTTTTTCCTTTGTGAGATAATATATTCTTTTCTTTTGTGTGTCTCTACCACATTATCACTTAATTGAAAAAGTCATGTTGAAATAAGATTTTTACAATGGACTAGACACTAGCACTCTCAGCCAAATACCATTAAACATCTAGAAACATTTTCATTATTCTATCAAGTGATAAAAATGTTAATTATTATTGTATCTAAGACTGATCCCTGAGTCCTGACTGGTGTGGCTCAGTTGGTTGGGCGTCATCCCACAAAGTGAAAGTTCACCAGTTCAATGTGAACCAGTCACGGCACGTGTCTGGGTTGCGGGTTTGGTCCCTGGTCAGGGTACGTAGGAAAAGCAACTGATTGATGTTTCTCTCTCACATCGATGTTTCTCTCCCTCTTGTTCCCTCTCTCTAAAAACAAATAATTTTTTTTTAAAAAAAGACTGATCCCTGAAAACCAAGAGTATGTTATTATTAAATTATTATAACTATGAAATGAAACCTCCTGCAGTTATATACTTGATATAACTCACTATTAAACCAGTGTGTCAAGGGAGATCAAAAGCAATACAGTCTTGGTAAAGTTAGGATAAATCTAAGACTTTCTTCTAGCTTACAAAGCCCCAGGAAAGCATCATTCTTCATAAAAATAATAATTTTTATTATTTGTTCATAATAAATTATTTGTTCATTATGGAGACATGTTCAGGTTTCTGATCAAGAATATAAACATCTACATAAATACCAAAAGGCTGTAACAAAAACTGAATTTCCTAAAAAACTCAATTTTTAAATTTAAATCTTTCTCTGTCCTTTTGGAGTATAATTCATCTTCCTCAATAAAGCTAAACAGGTTAAACACAAATGTATGCAGAGATTTAGATAATCAAAGGTTAATTCATAGTACTTACTCTCGTTTTATCAAACAGTTCTGAAACTTTGAGAAAAAACCTGAAAGAAAAATATTTCATCAGAAGCTACCTTTAAATAATTTCCCATTTCAAACATTCAGAGAATACATAATGACCCAAATTTATAGACAAAATAGTAAACATTCTTATCTCTTTATAATATTTAATGGTCATGTTTACTTCATTTCGTTTAACAAAAATATCTCTGTACTCCCACGCATAACAAATGACTTGAAATCTGTTGTTATAGAAAAAAATACCCATTTCAAGATAACTAAGTTATACATTAAAACCTAAAAATTTTGTCTTGATATTCTTTAGTAATATGTTACATAATAATAAAGCCTATACCTTCAACAATCCCCTTCCCCAATAGCATGAAATAGTGTCCTCAGTTCGGAATTAAAAAATAATTTTAAAAGGCCGATTTATAAGGAAAACACAGTTGGAGCAGTTTTTGAAGATATCTGATAGTTACGTTTTAAACATTTTTAAATAGGCTTGTTTTGGTAAACAACAGAAATCACTAACCAATTTCTATTGCAGAATTCACTTTTATTTTTAATTAATTAGTCTTTCTCCCAAGTGCTGACAGCCAACTAAAAACATCCCAAAGCCAAACTACTAAAGAGTATTCTGTAAAATACTTAATTATAGATGACACTATAATTGGATTAGGGCAAATACTATTGAAAGCTAAAGCACAATTTTATGAACTTTACTAAAAAGAACTTATTTTGACAGGGTTATATCAGGTAACACAGAGCAAGGTTGACCTTTTTTTCTTTGTATTAAAGAATTAAGAACTAACTCTTGAGAAGGTAGCATGTTAATTAGTGTAAGCTATGGTACCCTGCTTTGCTGAAAAATTTGGATTTACACGTCTAGAGGAAGAGGATATACTAGAGAAAAGTTCAAGGATGTGGTTTAGAGAAAGGCATGAACTACGAAAACAGTTTTTCCACTTAACATTTTTTAAAAAGTGAATTAGCCCTGACCCATGTGGCTCACTTGGTTGAGTGTCATCCTGCAAAGATAAAAGCTCACTGGGTTCAATTCCTGATCAGGGCACACGCCTGGGTTGCGGGCCAGGTCCCTGGTTGAGGCGCACATGAGGGGCAACCAAGCGATGTTTCTCTCACACATCAATGTTTCTCTCCCTCCCCTTCTCTCTCCCTTCTCCTTTCTCTAAAAAAAATATAAAAACAAATCTTTAAAAAATAAGTGAATTATTTTTCATTGAAGAGTTGGGTTTAAACAATACTATAGGAGCAACTAAAATTAACTACTATTAAAGTGAAAAACTAGCATAAAGTAAATAAAGGATAGCTGTGTAAGCAAACCTCCAGAGTGTTTTTACACTAACATGAAGAAACACCTTCCTCATCCAACTGCTCTAACATTCACTAAAATATAAAAACTAGAATAGCCAACCTCTTTAAAAAATGCAAACTGATAACTCTGACATAAATCATGTCTCTCCCTCTCTCTCTTAAACATACATACACCCCAACACATTTTCATCAAGTAAAACTTTGTAAAGATTAAAAAATATATATATTAAGGTCTATTATGAAAGAAGGGGAAGGGAAAAATTGACATGGTCCTAGGTTTATAAAGAAGCTCCTATTATCAATATGTTTTGACAGAAAATATTCCAAAATGTCCACTAGCTCTTGAGTATTTATTGTGTGTGCCCAGGCTGCCAAAAAAAATTGTTTTATTTTATATTTACTACTTTTTAAAAATCAGAATCCTTACTTGCATATATCTGTAGAGTCCTGAGTTCCTAAAGCATATAATGAAGAACCAATTCTATTGTAATCGTCTGCAGCACCTATGGAAAAAGTTTAAAGACTTTAATACATTTATTTATAGATTCAAGAATACTGAGCACCTACCTGCCAAACAAGACTTAGGATACCCTAAGTCTAATGAAGGAAATGAGAAAAACTATAATATGATGAATATTATATTTGAAGTAGGTACAAACTACGTTAGGTACAAGGGAAACATGATTTCACCTAAGCCAGGAAAGGATTTATAGACACTACAGAATGATTTTGAGCTTGTAGAATGAGCAAATTTTTACCATGTAACAGGGAAGGGAGAGCATTTTGAATAAAGGGAAGAGTATGGATCAAGGCAAGGTAGGTATAAAAGAGCACAGTATACTCAGCGTTCTGGACTATGACACTGAAAAGTACAGATGGGGAGCAGATGGAGTTGAAGATGAAAAAATAAATTGGAAGCATCTTGAGGAAAAAAAGGTTTTTGTAAGCCATGATAAAGTTTGGATTTGACCTTGTAGAAATGAGTGTTATTAAACATGTTACAATCATAGAAGTGGTAAAATCAACATGATAAGAACAGACACTACACTTGATCTTAGCCAAAAGGCTGAGAAGCAATCCTGATAAAGATTTTATATTAAAAAAAAAATACTGCTTCCTGGAGTAAAGACTAGAAGTGGAGAGACTAACTAGGAAACTGTTGTGTCTTACTGAAGGCCAGGATCATGATAGTGGGAACAGTGAGCACACAGAAGAACTAACAAAGCTGAAAGATACTTAGGAAATGTAATAGGTAGGATCTATAAACAGTAGACCTGATGTAGGAGGGGAAATTATGGAGCTTGGGAAGCTAGATGAATGGTGGCACCATTACCCTTGGGTGCTAGACGCAAAGTACTGAACTTCTGCATATCACTCTTTCTAGGGCTTGTCCTAGAGAACAATGAACTTGTTGAGAAAAGATTATAATAGATGCGTTTATTTGGTTCAGAGAAAGGACAGAATAATGCAATGGTTAAGAGCATGGACCTGGAACCAAATTACCTACAATCCAATCCCAGCTTCCCAACTCACCAGCTATATGACTTGAATGATATATCATTTAACCTGTATGTGCATCAGTTTCCTCACCTGGAAATCAGGATGATGATGATACCCACCTCATATTATTATTTAGAGAATTAAATAAGTTAATAAATGTCACTATATACCTGGCACATAGTAAGTACAGTACTAATTAACGAAATCCAAGACATGCCTAAAGTATGGAAATTCCCACCTACATTAGCAGCATTTTTACAAGGCTTTAATGTCTTTATTCCCGAAAAAACAATAATCCTTACATTATACTTTCTTACATTGTACAAAAGTATATTCAACTGATAAGGGTAAAATTGATCTTTTATAAAGAAACTTTCAGTACAAACTTCAGACTCTGAATGGTAACTTCTATGTGTGAGTCTCCACTATTATCTTAACCTAAAAGATAAGCCCTGGCTGGTGTGGCTCAGTGGACTGAGCGTCAGCCAGTGAACCAAAGGGTCACTGGTTTGATTCCCAGTCAGTGCACATGCCTGGGTTGAGGGCCAGGTCCCCAGCAGGGGGTGTGCAAGGCAACCACACACTGATGTTTCTCTCCTTCTCTTTCTCCCTCCCTTCCCCTCTCTCTAAAAATAAATAGAATTAAAAAAAAATTTTTTTTGTGGCCCTGTTCACTTGTACACCAAAAGGTTGCAGGTTAGATTGTCTAGGCTGTGGTTTTGATCTCCAGTTGGGGCGTGTAAGGGAGACAACAAACCATTGTTTCTCTCTCACATTGATGTTTCTCTCCAAAATCAATTAAAAAAAAAACAAAACAAAACAACAAACAACCATATCCTCAGGTAAGGATTAAAAAAAAAGAGAAATTAATATTTAAAAAAATCACTTTTTTTAGTTTTATTAACAGATGATTCTGTACTTTTGTAGTTCTTCATGTTTCCATAGCACTACTACACACCTCTATAGTAAGACTGATTACAGTATATTGTAAATTTTTTAAAGTTTTTTCATGTGTATCTTGCCTGCAAAATTATTAACTCTTTAAGGGCAAAGACCATATTTTCTTTATCTTGAAATCACCAATGCCTAATAAAATGTCTGGTGCATAACAAATATTGCATATCAATGTTTATGAACTAAATAATTCTTTTATTTATTTTTAGAGAGAAGGGAAGGGAGGGAGAAAGAGAGGGAGAGAAACATCGACCCTGCCTGAGAATCCAACTGGTGACCCTTTGGTTCACAGGCTGCTGCTCAATCCACTGAGCCATACCAGCCATGGTGCACTTACATTTTTTTTTGGTTAAAAAACTTTTAATATTTACTAATTGATTTAAATTAAAAATAACATTTTATTAAACTGTTATATGTTAACATAAGTAACATTCCAAATTAAAAATAACTCTATATATATAATTTTAAAATTAGTGAGGAGAGTGACATTGTCACATTTTTGCAAATCTCTTTTGCATGGCTTAACAGAAGATAGCTAGATTCTCTTATGTATGTCTGCATTTCATCTACTGTGACATTACTATTGCTTCTCTTCAAGTATGTGGAGAAAAATCCAGCCTCAAACAGATATGTAACTGGAAAGGAAAGAGGTATTTTACTAACATTTTCAGATAATTGTGGATATTCTTTGATAGCACACTGAAACTCAACAAGCTGTTGTTTCTTTAAGGGTTAGTTTTAACAGGGAATCTAAAATCCTATTAATAGACTTTTTGTACTTTATTACATTAAACTCCATTGGTGTAAGTTACAATTATCCCAAAATGTAAGGTTGAACCAACATTTGAAAATCAATGCAATTAACCATATTAAATGACTAAAAAAGTAAAACCATGTGATTATCTCAAGAGTTGCAAAAAGAGCACTTGACAAAATCTAATATGTATTCCTGATTTTTAAAACCCTCTCATAAAACTAGGAATTCAAGAGAATTTTTTCAACCTAATAAAACCATCTAGGAAAAATCTTCACCTAACATCATAATTAATAGTTTAAGACCAAATGCTTTGCCCAGAAGATAAGGAACAAGGCAAATGTAAACTAATTTATCATGCCCTCACCACTTCCATCAGCACTGTAATGGAGGATAGACTACACACAGTACAATGGGGCGAGGAAAAGAAAGAAATGGCATCTAAACTGGAAAGGAAGGAGTGTAACTGTTTTTATTAGCAGATGATCATCTATGTAGGAAATCCTACGGAATCTCCAAAACAGTTACCAGAACCAGTGAATGTATTTAGTAAGGCTGCAAGATATAAGAGCAATATTGAAAATACACTCTATTTCTACATATTAGCAAAGAACAACCGAAAACTGAAAGGTAAAAAAACACATCATTTACAAAGCATCAGAAACAATTAGGAATCAATCTAACTAAAGATGTATAAAATCTGTACAGTGAAAAATATAAAACACTGCTGGAAGAATGTAAAGACTTAATGGGGAATATGCCATATTATGTACAAAAGATCAACTTAAAAATCAATCCTCCCCAAAATGATCTACAGATTCTACACAATTCTAATCATAATCCCAGCAGGCATTTTTGTAGAAAGTGATAAGCTGATTCTAAAATCTGTATGAAAATGGCACTGGCTGGTGTGGCTCAGTGGATTGGGCGCTTGCTTGCAAACCAAAAAGGTCGCTGGTTTGATACCCAGTTAGGGCACATGCCTGGGTTGCAGGCCAGGTCCCTGGTTGGGTACATGTGAGAGGCAGCCGATCCATGTTTCTCTCATTCTCTCTCTCCCTCCCTTCCCCTCTCTAAAAATAAATAAATAAAATCTTTAAAAAGAAAAAAGAGAAAGAGACCATTATGACCTATTAGAATGGCTAAAATTAAAAAAGACTGATTATCCTCATTAACAAGGATGAAGAACAACTCTAACAGCTGGTAGGAATGTAAAATGGTACAATCACTTTGGAAAAAAGTTTGGCAATTTTTTTAAAACATTATACACTCACCACATGACCCAGCCATTCTACTTCTAGGTATCAATATTATCCAAGAGAAATGAACACATATGTCTATACAAAGACTTACATAAAATGGCTCATGTCAGCTTTATTCGTGATAGCCAAAAGCTAGCAACAACTCAAATGCCCATCAACAGCTGAGTCAGGATAAACACTCATGGTATATCCATAAAACAGAATACCATTCAGCAATACAAAGCAGTGAATTATTGATACACACAACATGAGTGAATTTCAAAATAATTGTACTGAATTTCAAAGCCAGATAATAAAGTGTACAGATTGTATTATTCCACTTGAAATGCAAACTAATCTATAGAGACAGAAAGTAGATCAGTGGTCACCTGGAGACATGGGTGGGAAGAGAGGGATTACAAAGGGCCCCAAGGCAACTTTTGGTGGTGATGGGTATATTCATTTGATTTGATTGCAGTGATTTTATACATATGTCAAGTCAAAATTTACCAAAATGTACACTTTGAACATTGTGTCTTATTTATACCAATTATATAGCAAAAAAGCTGCTTAAAAAAATTAGCCTATTTTACATTTTGAATGCATCATTTATATACACATTTTTTAACATCATGCACTGAATCATTTAGAAAATATTGGTTCAAGGAATGATGTAAATCTTGACACACTTGAAATGTTGACACATTTCAATATACAATATAAAAATATCACATTCACGAATATTATTATTAATCTCAGACAAGTCTTTAATTATTAGGAAGCAAGCTTATGGTATTGGAAAAAAGCTCACAGTAATTGCTGAAGAGCCTGACTTTTACATTGGCAACAAATACTGTCAGCTGTTTTTCTTAAAAGTAACAGGCTCACTTAGTGAATTTTTAAGAAAATGTCTACCCAATATGGAAGTCTGAACTATCATAGTCTGCCAGCCATTCTTTTAAGTAAAAGTGGTGTTCTGTAAAAAAAGTGTACTCAAGGAATATATTTTATAATTATTAATATTTACTGCTTCATCAAGGACATTCTTAATTTAACATTAAAAAAAAAAACCTGCAAATGCACCGCAGGAAAGAATACAATGACTATTAATACAGTTTGATGCCACTGCCTTGATTTGTGCTAAGGCACCAGCAATTTTATTCATCATGGCTTTTGCACCATGAGTATAAACGTTAACATGGTGAAAAAAGGCAAAAGGCATCAAACATAATATTATGATGAAAATAGTTTTGACCTCGCAGACTTGCCGGCAAGGGTCTTCAGGTCAAGGCTTCATAGACCACAGTTTAAGAAATGCTGCTCTTTATCAAGACTTTTTACAAACTGTAAATAACATAATAACTTTATATGTAATTATTCCATTAAAAATATAAGCTTTAGCCACAGAGAAAAAACCTTACTTTTGTGGGATCTCGTCATCCTATCAGATTTAGCAGAGGCATCCTTAACTCGGTTATGATATTCTAAAAGGAATGTTCGTTCATGCTCAAAGAAATCATCTACATCCTATGGGATCAAAAGAAAATATGAATGTTTTTCACTTATTTGCTTTAGTGTAATATGTAAACATTTTGTTATCATTATAATCATAAAAGATCATCAGTAAAACAGCCATGCTATTCTCTAATAATCAGATATTACACTGATTTCACCAAGTTCAGACTTTAATAGATATGAATTTCTGTCTATCAAGTAATAAATCTTTTATGGTTTTGCAGCTGAAGGCTTGGCGCTCCCCATAAGGGTCATGCTTACAAGCAGTACTCTGAAACGCTCCACCTGTGCTCTGCCTCTATACTCCAACAGACACATTATTGCCAGTGAGAGTGACTAATTGTTTTTGAGGAAAAAATTCTGATAAATAAGTAAGTCTATTTCTCTCGTTCTATTATGTATACTGTGGGTCATTTCAGAAAGCTGCTAGGCCTTTAGTTATTAGGACCTTGGCTGCTTTGGGGAACGTGGCCAAACCAACTCTCTGAGAGCAATTATTCTATCAACCACCGCCTTCAACCTTACATTTTTTGGGAAACAAAACAAGATAAACATTAAAAATAAAAATTATTAACAGTACTTTCCTCCCTTCTAAAATGCCCATTGTTTACTGAAAAAGCACCAGCTGAAATGATGTAATTAAAACCCAAATCAACAGAACACTAGAAGCAAAGTTAATTTAAATTTAAATCATGCGTACCAGTCTTCCTAACTGTAAAAAGGGGGATAATACTATCTAACTTGCAGGATTGTAGTGAATAAAAAAACTGGGTTACCAAATATCACACTGTAAATGTTTAAAAAAAGCTAGTCATTACTTTATTGAAATCCTAATCAATACAGGGGTGTACACTAAATGCTAAGAAAAATGTTCAATATTAATGCATAAACAGCATCAAAATGGAGGCTGAGTTATTAGAAAGTAGCCATAGCAAATGCATCGTCAACATATCAACTGACCTTTCTCTGAAAAATCAAAGTATAGATCAAATAAATAGTACTTCACACCTAAAATTCACTGCCGATGTATCTATAAAACAGGTAATGATGTCAAAGCAGCATTATCACTAAGTAATTGCTTGAAAACATAATATAAGCATTTTCCTCTTATATTTTAATGATAAGAGTCTTCAGATAAATCAAGTCTTGTACCATTATTAGAACATGATTAAGAAAAATGTAGGCATCATTTTGGTAAATAACTTTGTAAGTGTTTTCGCACGTATTATTTCATTCAGTCTTTCCAACAGTCCTGTGAACCGAGTGGTATTATTAACTGCATTTTGAAAATGGGACAACTGAGATTCAGAGAAAGAGGCTTTTCTCAGTCATACAGCTACTACGAGACAAGACCAAAACCTCAACTTAGCTCTTCTAATTCCCAATCTGAATCCAGGTCTGCACTTAACACTTGTAAGGCCAAGGGCAAGTGTACATATGAAGGTAGTCCCTCTTTATGTCCCACCCTGCAGCTCTGTAGGGAACCCAGAGAGATCTCATGTGCATGTAGCGGGACAGCCCGTCCTGTACACTGATCTCCCTGTGCCCTTCCTCTGCCAGCTGTCCCATGGTCTTCCCTTGACCACCCATGGAGCGCACACATCAGTGGCACAGTCCACCTACCAGAGGATGGACTCAAGGAAAAAGACCATCCAAGACCTGGAGGAAGGCTTGGGGTTTGGCCAAGGAAATACAGTGTTCTAGATAACTGGAGCACAGTCCGATTTGAAGAGAAGGGGCTCTGGGTGGGCAAATCCCAGTGGACCTGCAGATCTCTCACCCTTGGAGAAGGGAGCTCTCTAAAGAGTGGGCCTGGGTCAGGGGCCCCAGTTTCCCAGGCCTAAGGATGCTAATGTCCCACCTTCTCTTTTACTCCAATATAATCTTCTGCACATCTAAAATCTCAATCTAGCTTCCTCTTAAAAGGAGTAAGTTCTCAAACCAGTACTCCTGTTAATCAAATAAAATCTTACCTTTACTCCTGAAACAATTACTCCATCTGCTGATTTAACCATGTTTTTAAAGAAATCTTCAAGTTTCTCTTTTTTATTTTTTCCTCGCACACTCAACTAAAAGAAGGGTAAATAGAAGTTAGCATTTTTAAAAATTACAAATGGAAAGTAATGTCTCCTTTATTCTCTGATGTCAAAATGGCAATCCCAAAAGGATCCCAGTTTTTTAAAACTTAATAGAGCAGAAATTTTATCATGTAGATGAGTGATTTTCAACCTTTAGGGAATTCAAGAGAAGTTTGGCCTCACCCCAAAATTCAGATTTAGCTGATCTATTTTAAGGCCTAGGTATCTCAAATGTTGTAAGTATACTTAATAATAATTTTGTTGCAAGTAGCCCTCTCATCATACTCTGTCAAGCACTACTATATTAATGTAAAGACAACTCAGACTTTAATTCAGGAATTCCTTTAAATGTAAAATTTATTGCTGTACAATATATTATCCTGTGATTCTGTAAAAGTTCTGAAAATATATTCTGCAAATTCTTGACTCTAAATTTATCCAAACATCATTTCCTGTCCTGTTTCTGGTGTCAGTAACTTCTAGTGCAAGGGACACAAAAGATGACCGAGTGGCATGAATGATTATCCAAAGGCAAAACTGAGAGGCAGCTAACTCTGACTTTACCTCTTGCTGCATTGGGGTGTCCCAAAAAGAACCATCCTATCTAATCTCCTTATCTACTAGCATGGCTTTAATGCTCACCTTTATGTAAATAACTCACAAATCTCTATCATTACTCCTAAGCTCTTTCCTGATCTTTAGATCCAACTGCCTATATCATATCCTTACATGGAGATTCTGCTAACCTCATTTTAAATGAGTCTAAAACAGTACTCATTATAATCTAAACTCCAAAGTTTTCCTCTTCCTGGTTCCCTATTCATGGACCTTCTACCCAGCCAGTCTCTCATACTCCTACAGACTCCCTAAAACCCCACATCTCTCATTAAAAATCTTAAAATAATCTACAACTTCTTTCTTTCTCTCACAGTTCAAATTCTACCAGCAAATGTCTGAAATCTGTCTTTTTATATTACCACTGTCCTAGTAAATGTCCTCATTACCTCTTGCCTAGACTACTACATGGAACGAGCAGTTAACACGTTCATCTCAATCCTATCCATTCTGCTGCTTCAGAATAACTTTCCAAAATCAGATTCTGAGCATCTCTTCCTTACTCAATAACTTTACAGTTTCACAATGTTCAGAGAATAAAGGCCAACCTCCTTAGTATAATATTCAAGATTTTCAACAATCTGATTCAACTTAGCTTTCCACCTACTGCCCCTACCACCACAAAACCTTACGTTCCAAATAGTTCTCATAAGAAACTCTGAACTTTTAGGTTCCTCTCTACCTGAAATTGTACCGCCCCTCCTACCAAAACTGCTGTTCAGACTTAAGCATCCAAATTAAAAGGCATCTCTGCATGTTAGAATTCACTGCTCTATCTTCAGGCCTCTCAACACACACTGATTTTTGTGACTGAATATTTTGGGGATGCTGATTAAATCATTCGCTCATTTAAGAAACCAATAACAAATGTATATTACAGTCACACATTTATGCCAAGTGCTAAGAATATAAAGATATCTAAGAGGTGGTCCCTGCTCTTGAAGTAACTTATGGTGTAGAGGAGGATACAAAGAAGCCTATGATTAAGCATATACCATGAGGCATATGTTAGAGGTATCCAGAGTGCACTAGGGGCGGGGAGCACCCAAGGAACTTAACACAGGCTCAGGGCATGAGAAAGAAAAGACCAACTAAAGACTGAATGACCAGTCAGGGGCAGCTTCAATAACCCAGATAAGGACTATGAAAGGCAGAACTAATCTTCAGGTCTGGCGGAAGAAGGAAGTAGACACATTCCTAATACAGTAAAGGAGTAAAACAGACAGGATTTGGTGATTCCTAATAGGAAGACAGAGTAGGAGTCATGGGTAATTTTCAGATTTTAAGGAATTAGGAGGTGACGGTACCTTCCTTGAGATAAAGAATATAAAAGGAGGCAGGGGTTTACAGAAGAGTTCAACTAAGGGTAAAATACAAAGGGGACAGACATCTAAATGGAACTTTTCCGGAGGCTGTCTAATAAATAAAATCACTGGGACTCAGGAGTGATATAAATTTGTATGTTAACAGCATAGTAGAGTATCTGAAACCATAGGAACAGATACTTAGGGATAATTCATGGAATCAGAAGTCTAGGGGAACTTCTACTTCTTGAGAACTCAGTGAGGAACCTTGGAAGCATGAGATTTAAGTGAATGAATATCTGGGAAGTAGCCGTAGAGCTAAGAGAAAACTCAGAAGAGATCCCAAAGATTGAGAAGTACCTGGGACCCAGCATAGCTAGAAAAATATTTTAGTCAAAACAGAAAGGCACAATATCAAACATAATATTAATAGAATAAAGGACAAAAACCACGCACAATCATCTCAATAGCTGTGTTGTTTTTTTTTTTTTCATGGTAAAAATATCTCACGGACTAGGAAAAGAAGGGAGCTTCTTCAACCTGGTAAAGGACATTTGTGAAAAACCCACAGCTAACGTCATACTTAACAATGAGATAGTGAGTGCTTTCCTCCTAAGATGTGAGAAAACAAGGATGTCTACTCTTGCCACTTCTATTTAACACTGCACTGTATGTTCTATTCAGGGTAGCTGGGCAAGCAAAAGAAATATTACATAAGGAATCCAGACTGAAGAAGAAGATGTAAAGAAAAGAAAAAAAAAGAATGCGAATAAATGAGTGTGGCTGCCAAGGTGGGTGAGGGTTGTGGGGCATACAGAAAGTTCAGGGATTTGATTTCTTATTGGCTTCAACTCCCAGTGAACAAGGTGAGAATCTGATCAGGGAGAACTGTTTTGAGTTGGAATAAGCTTTCATGGAAAATGGGAAAGAGCTGTCTAAAGTCATAACCTTGTTATACATGATGGAGCAGGCACTCTAGGGTAGGTTAGAAAGAAGTAAAGACAAAAGGGTTGTTAACAAAATCAAAATGCAGGAGAGGTCAAAGAAAAACTACAAGGGGTTTAGGGGAAAAAAAGAGCTATAGAACAGAGGCTATGTTTGGAATCCATAATATCAGGGTTTAAGAACTCAGAAGGCACCCTGGCTGGTGTGGCTCAATGGTTTGAGAGCCAGCCTGCAAACCAAAGGGTCACCAGTTCAATTCCCAGTGCAGGGCACATGCCTGGGTTGCAGGCCTGGTCTTTCCCTGCCCTGTAGAGGACATGGGAGATGCAACTGTACACTAATGTTTCTCTCCCTCTTTTTCTCCCTTCCTCTCCCTAAAGATAAATAAATAAAATCTTAAAAAAGACCAAACAACCAAACAACTCAGAAGGCAAGGTCCTGGGTGTGACCATTGATGAGTTAGCAAGAATTTAATGGAGGTTGAGATGTTAAATACGTTAAATACTTAATCTACTGTTAAGCAGACTCAAACTCTGTCTACTAAAAACAGAAGGTACACTGCTGCATAAGTAAAGCAATACTAAATGCAATCATTCCTCATAGCAATGACCATTTCTCATACAATTAAATGCTGAAACAAGTTTTTCCAGACTTCACAGATGCCCCATGGCCTTTTTAGATTTCAAGACACCCTAGCTCTACTTCAATAGCTTATCAGTCCCATGACCCTCTGAAACATAGTTAATAGAGCAGCACAATTTCTTTTCCAGTATCACTGAACTGAATAAAGATCTGAGAAACAGCATTAGACACAAGATTGAGAGAAACCTTTTATTTTGGAGGCTATAACCTACAACCTACTAATATACTTCCTATTAAAGAATATTTTCTAGTCCATCTTTTTAGGCTTTCTCCAAAACACCATTTACTGATATTAAAAGGGTTATTACAATGCATCATCATCATCTCTGCTAAGCATACATTACTCTGTAAGAAAGAAAAGTAGAGCAGGTAAACTGTACTCACCTTCTCCCATAATCACTTCAAAATTACAAATTACAGAACCACCATCACTGAGAACCACCTGAAGTCTAGATGAAGGGAAGTCCTATAACTAAGAATATACAAAAGCAGCCATGTGGAGACTGGTAGGAGGGATGGAGAAGCAAAATGGGCTGTTTCCTTGGGGCAGATAAAAATCGGGACAGATATCTTGACCATGGAGGTACCCCCGAGGAACCATTAGTTCAGCTGCGTATCAGGCTCCCCAGACCAGGTTTCCAGTGCCCCAAAGGGAAGCCCCCACAACTTCTGGCTGTGCAAACCAGCAGACACTGTGGGTGAGACAGAGGGCTTCTCGAATGCTAGGTACTCCTCTTAAAGAGCCAATGCACAGACTTAGTCATTTGCTTTGCGCTCCAGCGCTGGAGCAGCAGCTTTAAAGGCATCAGAACATACAGGGAGGAACTAAAATGTCTGGCTTTGGGACAAGAGGTGGTGGGACAGTTTCTCCCAAATAGAAATGCTGGCAGAAGCCACTGTTCCTTTGCTGAGCCCTTCCCCTACAGATGAAGGCTGGCACCATATCTGGGTTCCCATCAACCTGGCCAACACTCTTCATAGGGCCCTGGTGATTCCCTGAGAGTTCACCCATCCAACTTGTGGGCCCACTCAAGTTGCTTCTAGTGGTTTCCATACAAAGGGTGTTTTTGGCTCATGCTTTGGACTTTCCAAAAATCCCTCAAGGGTTCCTGAACACCAAAAGAAGCAGAGCCTGGCCTCACACCTCTTGCTAAGCAGTCCCAAGCCGAGCACTAGAGGCAGCTCAACTTGGTTTGCAGCTTTACCTCTCCCAGGCACCTCCAAACTCAGTGGTAACCATCTGCAGATCACTCTGTAGTTCATACCAGGTGGCCCAGGCAGGGCATAGACAGCAGCTAATCTTGGCCTGCACCTCCCAAGAGGCCCCAGAACCAACACACTTGGTGGCCATTTTCTGGCCACACCAGAGCACTAACCACCTCCACAAATAACACACTCAAAGGGCAGACTTGGCAGGCACTAAAGCCCTGCTAAAGCAAATCCTGCTAAGGAGGGCCCACTCCCATGCTATAGCTCCTCCACTGT